CTGAGATTCTATATCTTAGGTGCGGCTCCACTAGGAATGGGGTGGCTGTCGGTCAGGTCCGGTTCCTCTTGTGTCAGGTGGGGGCACAGGCTGGGTCAGAGCCATCCAGGGGCTGCCTCTCCCTCCCCAGGGCCATTTTACTCCGCATATTTGAAATACTTTCCCAAACTTTGAGCCGCATTCCCTGCCCTGCCTCTTGCTTTCCTGGCCTCAGCTCATCAAGGCGTTAGAAATGTTTGCTTTTTGACATAGGCATGCAAGGAAGTGGATGGAATGTTTCAGGGGCTTTTGGAAGGCTGGCAGCAACCATAGGGGACAGTCCCTGTGCCTGGGAAGATGCCACCCACCTTTAACTTGTGCCAGCCTTCTTACTTTCCTGCTCCTCAGCAAATGAAAGCAGAGTTGAGCATGTCTCTTTGGGTGCTGTCTGTTTTTATTTGCAAATGTCAGGATTGTAGGGTCTTCATTTGGGCTTCATCCCGTGAGTGTATGCAGACACAGGATGGAGGGAGGGGTGGGTTAACAAGGGTGCTGGTGTCCCAGGCACCATTAAGAGATAGAGATGGCTAGCAGGAGGCTTCTGCCCTTCCGGACCTGGGATATAGCTCAGGTCTGGTAAGTAGACCTCAGTCTCTGGTCACCCTTGCCATTATGATCAAGGAAACCCCTCCAACCCCTCTGATCCATACAGCTGCAGCACTGTGACTTACCTCTCCTGCAGCTCTCTAGCCCTAGCTGCCACCCTATCTTGAGTTACTTTATACCTGTCTTCCCACCCCCACCCCAGCGCAGTCACTCTCTAAGGCCCAGTTCACAAATCAGCTCGGCCCATCAACGGACTAAAGAAGGTTCACACATGACCTCCAGGCCAATTTCACAACTGAAAAAAAAAAAAAGAAGATAGGCTAATGTAATGGGATTTTCATGAGGACTGAAGACCCTAACACCAACACTGCACCCTGAGAATAGAAAGGACTCACTGTCAGCTGGGACGACTCCCCCAAGAACCGAGCAGAAAGGACTCTTTGGTCTCAGTTGGCTGCATCTGTCAGGCCACACTTTGGGCAGGCAGAGGGTGCGCCCTAACACCCTCATTTGGAGCCTTTCAACCATTTCTGGGAATGAGGTGAGCTATAAATAAGTGCACCATTTGGAAACCCCACCCGGCTCTCTGGGCCCAACTTGGCATCAGCTGACCAGGCCCAGCGGCCATTACCTTCGTGTGTCCTGGCCCCATCCCCTCTCCCAAGAGAGCAAGACCCCCCTCCCTCAGCTTTTTTCAAGGGGGAAGGGGAGGGTGTGTCGTCCTGGATTTGTGAGGACTCTGGGGTCTCTTGGAGCTTCCAGCAATGGGAAGGGTATTCCTTCTCTTTCTTCTCTGCTCTTCTCTTCTCTTCTTTCTACCTCCTACCTACCTCTGTCTCTACCCATCTCTGTCTGCCCCTGATGCCAACCCCAGAACACCAGTGTTTGGAGGAGGATCCTGTGACTTCTGATTTTCTTCTGTGCCATATCTCCATGTTTTTGCAGTGTTCTGTGTGAGTCTCAGTATTGCTATTTGGAAAATGGGTGGATCCTTCAGACCTGTCTTTCAGAGATGCTGTAAAGGACACTCAGGGTAGCTTTTATAATGTGCTTGCTTTTCTTCCTCATGGGAGACTCAAGGTAAGTTAGTGAACTGGAGCTTCAGCTTCCTGGTCCCAAAAATGGGAGTGATAAAGGTTTCCAGTTAAGAGTTGCTGTAAGGATGGAATGACTTAATAATAACACTCGGAACAATGCCAGCACACAGAAGTGTCCAATTGATTTTAGTGATTAATATCATTATCATGTTTGTCCCTAGTGTCTTTAGGTCATCAGAAAGGTGACTGGTTGTCTTGCATCTTTCCATCCCCATCCCTGCTCTTCTGAAAGATATTGCACGTAGACGATATACACATCATTGCTGTGTAGGGCACACAGCTTCTCAACTGTCTTCACATGTGGAAAAGGGATGTGGATATTAGGAAAGATGACAGGGAGGATCCTTAACTTGACCTCAGCTTTGTACTTTCCTGGGGCAAGGGCAGGATGGATGCCTTGGAGGGTTGTGAGCAGCTCCTGGCTCTCACCCCTCACCTTTTGGGCTCTGAGCCTCCCAGAAGAGCACACATCCCCCTTGTGCCAGGGCTGGGAATGGTGCTGTCTGCCTGCATCCCACGTGGGAAACCCAATGTCTGCTCCAGCAGAATTGGAAACCTCAACAGTCAGGAGCATTTTGGCTAGCGGGAGGTCTCAGGGCTTTCTGGCAGGCTGGGAGATGCCTCCCACCAACTGACTTTGGAGAGGACCCGTTTTTTCTGGGATCTGGAGACTTAGGAATCTGCAAGGAACTTCTGGTGTCTTGGGGAAACCAAGTGGGTGTCTGGCCTTTTGGGGACACCCACTCCTCACGTCTACGTCCCAGGCTTTGCAGCCCCTCATCTGGCCTCCTCTCTGTCCTCGGCCACCTGAGCTTCCGCACGAGGGCGCATCCGCTCTCGGACTTTAGGGCCTTGTTCTTTGCACTCCCCGGAAATGCGGAAAAATGGCCCAGCGCGGGGTTTCTTCCAACAGCAGTCCCTCTCCGGCTCAAGTTACAAACTCTTCACCTGGGCACCCAGGCATTTTGCCTGCCAGGAAACGGGCTGAGGCCGGAGCCTCCTGGAGACATTGCAAACTTGTGCCATCGCGCGGAGCTGGGCGTGCGCCTCCAAACTGCTAGCAGAACTCGGGTGTTTTTTGGGTTTTTTTTTTCCCTTTACTATCGGTGCCCCGCCCACCAGTCTCGCGTGTCTCCGCCCGCCTCCAGCCCATGCCCAAATTGGGAGGTGTTTATTATTGCATGGATTCAAGATTGGATTTGCCTTAGAGTTTGGAAGACGCGCCGGGTCGGCGCGCAGTTTCGGGAGAGTCAGGAATGTGCGCGCTGGACTTCGGGTGCCTGGGAAGCTCCGGAAGGAGCTGCGGTGTGAGGGAGGAGGTTGCATCGTGACACCGGTTTGTCTCTTAGTCTGGTTCTGTTAAAGCGGAGCACAGAGGCTGGATCGGGCCAAACTTGGGCTTGCTGGTGGCGCGCTGATCCGAGGGGCTGGGTGACCCTGGGTCTTGGCAACCCCTGAGATCTCAAAGGCGCGAGCATTGAGGCTCTCTTTTCACTCCAGGATTGACAGGGGGTGCACCGGTGAGAGTGAGGGATGCAGAGAGGACAACGCCCGCCCCCTTGGGGAGAAGGTCACCCCCAGGACCTAGGCCTGCCAGGCTGGGCTGCGCGCACAGCTTAAGTTACAAATGTGGCTCCAAGTTGGAAGACCCGGACGTGTCCCAGGGCGTGTCCTGGTGCTCCCTCAGGCGGGGCTCGCATCCAAACCGGTTTTTCGACTCTTGATTGCGACTTCCTTTTCGGTATTTCAAGCTTACCCACTTTCCTGCGGTCTGTTTATTCCACAGGTAGTATACTTCCAGAACTCCCAAACACTTGGGTTATTTTCTGGATTCCTTATTTTGGAGTGCGAAGCTACCGTCCTTCGGGGGCAGCGGCAGGACACCTCCGCCCCGCATTGGTGCGCTTGTAATGTCTCTCCCCCTCCAGCAGTGGCGGTGGCGGTGGGCCGTTTCTACACCCACCTGCCACCCTTCCCCCTCCCTTTCCTTTGGCATCACCCCAGCACTTACTCATGAAACGCTAATTCAGTTATCCTCAGTGTTTTCTTTTTCCTTTAAAAGAATACTCTGCAGAGATCATAAACAGGAACTGGTCACGCTACATGCACGCCCCCCCCCACCTCCTCAGCAGAGTGGGGGGAAGACAACCCCTTTGGAACCGGTATCATTCATGATTTTTGATTGAAAGCTTGATGTATCTAAATGTAAAATGAGACTGATGTGGGGGGTGCTTGCACCCGAGGGTGGAGGGTGGGGGTAGAGGCAGCAGGCTTCCCAAATGCTTCATGTAAGCAGTGGCCAGCTGCGTGCACTTGTAAAGTTGTTATAACCCCCCTCCTTGTTATAAACAGGAAGGTACAGAATATAAAGCGAAAGACCAGCATTCACAAATACCAGCTCTCCTCGCCAGCTGCCAAGTTCCCCTTTTATGGTGTTCACTGCTTGCAACCTTAGCCCCACCAGAAAGACCTTCGTTTTGCCCTATTCTCCAAAAGGGCTTCTTTTCATATCTTCAACGGAGCCATGGACCAGGCACCACGTCCCTCTCCAGCTCCCAGGGTGCACTCTGCCTTCCATGCCAGAGAGGCTGGCTCCTGGGGTCCTCTCCTCAGGAGTCCATTCCTTGGGCTACTAGGCCCTCCATCGGGTGAGTCCAGCATCTCTTTAGGGAGGGCTGCATGCCCCAAACATTTTTATGGGAGAAAAGACCTTCTGTGGGAGGCTCAGGGTTATGGGCTCCCCTCGACCAGCAGTAAAACTCGCCCCCCATCTCCATCCCTTCTTCCTGGCCCAGCAGATCCAGCTCTGAGCCAACCCGTCCACATCCTGCCTCCCTGACCGTGTGTGCTTACAGCGTCAAGGGGTGGACGTGATATTTCAAACATCAGATCAGTGCGTTTATATATTGGGTGCCCGGAAATTTTTCCAAATAAACACAGCTTGATTCAACTTGGGTGGGCGGACTTATCAACAGACTAATTCTATAAACAAATGAAGGAATAGCCCCGAAACCGATTGGCTGGTATCAAAAAGACACGTGGAGGGAAAAGCTAGGACTTTTTCAGCAATGAAATTTTAATTAATGTGGGTGGGCTGAGAACACAACGAGTGTTTATCATAGACAATTTATTTTCCAGCGCTAAGTCAACATATAATAGCAAACTTACAACAATTATTTAACATTTTTAAAGCCATGAAGAAGGGACAGAGCGCTCAGAGGCCCGGGAGAGCGGCTGAGCGGAGGGCTGACGCACGGCGGGCTCCCCGGGAGGGCCCTTGCGGCGCGGGGCGCAGTCCCTAAGCCGCCGGGTCGCCTGCGTCGCTGGGAACGCAGCGCAGGCTCTGGCTCGCCATGAACCACCTATTCAGTCCCCGGCTGCCTGCCCTGGCTGCCTCGCCCATGCTCTATCTGTACGGCCCCGAGAGACCCGGGCTGCCCCTGGCCTTCGCCCCCGCGGCTGCTCTGGCTGCCTCGGGCCGAGCGGAGCCCCCCCAGAAGCCACCGTACAGCTACATTGCGCTTATAGCCATGGCGATCCAGGACGCGCCGGAGCAGAGGGTCACCCTCAACGGCATCTACCAGTTCATCATGGACCGCTTCCCCTTCTACCACGACAACCGGCAGGGCTGGCAGAATAGCATCCGCCACAACCTCTCGCTCAACGACTGCTTCGTCAAGGTGCCCCGCGAGAAAGGGCGGCCGGGCAAGGGCAGCTACTGGACGCTGGACCCTCGCTGCTTGGATATGTTCGAGAATGGCAACTACCGGCGCCGGAAGAGGAAGCCCAAGCCGGGCGCGGGGCCCCCGGAGGCCAAGCGGCCCCGCGCTGAGCTGCAGGAGCGCGGCGGCGCAGGGGAGCAGCAGGAGGAGGGGATCCCGGCCGGGGACCCAGTGATCCCCACCCACGAGGGCGCAGCCGAGCGTCCCTTGCCTCTTCCGGATGGCCCCTCTCGGCCCGAGGTCCTCCACTGGTCAGGCTCTGAGCCCGGGATCAAGGATGCAGGCGACGCAGTTCAGGGCGCAGCGATGGTGGAGGTCCCCCAGCCAGCGCGCACAGAGGCTGGCCCGGGGTCCCCTCCGCGCCCCGCCTCCCGCAGCTCTCCAAAGAATTCCGACAAGTCTAAGAGCTTCAGCATCGACAGCATCCTGTCTGGGAGACAGGGCCAGAAGCCGGCTGGAGGGGGCGAGGTCCAGGGGGTCGCCAAGCCGGGGCCCTGCGGCGGGCTGGGCGCCTCGCTTTTGGCTGCCTCCTCCAGCCTTCGGCCGCCATTCAACGCCTCTCTGATGCTTGACCCGCACGTCCAGGGCGGTTTTTACCAGCTGGGGATCCCTTTCCTCTCTATTTCCCCCTGCAGCTTCAGGACGCGGTGTTTCACTTCCACTAAATCATCAGTGGCGCGGCTCTTCCCTGCACTGGCTGGAGCCTCCTCAGAGCCACCGACCGCGGGTCTCATCCCGAGGGAAGGCGGCGCTTTCTTTTTAAAATGATCTTTGCTAGGGTCGAAGTGTGGGTTTTGAGTAGCGTTGCCAACCTCTGCGCATAGTGGACAACCTTCTTCTGCCTCCCCCGAAGTGGACTTACCCGGCAACAGGGAGCCGTTTTGCAGGGTTCAAAGACCCATCCCCGCCGGGGGACTTGGCCATCAAACACCCCCTCCCCATGGGTCCTGCGTGTCCGGAGGACAAGACTTACAGACACAGTGATCGTTTCCACTTATAGCCACTGTCTGACCATCGCAGGCTCGGTGGTCACTGTATGGCACAGGCCTTGGTGTTGAGCCCCTCTGGGTGATGGGCATTCACAGCTGGGTTTGTTCCCCAAGTCCAGCTTAGGGGGCTCTCAGGATGACCCCTGGTCTTCAGGTGCTGGGGGAGATGTAGGGCCTTGTTAGCATTCAAGATGAAAGTTAAGGTGGAGAAACCACAGAGAGCCATAACACTTTTATTTTAAATAGGGGATTTTTTTTTCTCTTACGTTGTTCTAGGCAGTAAAAGGAAAGTGTTTCATTCTTTGCCCAAATATTTGGCTGTTTTTACTATAGCAAGTAGTAGCTGCTATTAAGGTGCGCCCTATATCATACAGCCCTATATCATTTTGCTGCGTTGTGGTAGCCGGTTTAATGCTTGCTTCATATCTATGACCCAGAATAGCCAGCCCTGCCTTTTGCTTTTCTTTTTTAAGGGTTCAACAGATTTCGGGGGACTCAGGAAGGTGTGAGAGGGAGGGAATATGCTTCAGACAATGTCAAATTTCTTGAGTTCCTTGGTTTTAAAAGGATCTATGTTTGGGTTTTCCTCCAAACATCTTCCAGAATCATGCAATGAAGGAACCGCATTTATTAAGAAAAGTTGGGTGAAACAAACAAAACGCAGATTGAAGGAGAGCTTTTAATGTTGAGAGAGGAGAGGGACTTTTGGGTGTCTGGGGAAGGTGCCCTTCCAGGTGCCAAAGAACAAGAGGCTTGAAGGAGAATTTGCTGAGACACCCCCAGCCTGGGCATCCCCAGTTGGCAACTGCGCCCCTCCCAGGCCTGCCTGGAGGCTCAGGTGACAGGAACACCTTACCTAGTGTGGCAGCAACAAAGATCTGAGATTTTCACTTCAGCCCAGCTGCAAACTTTGGGGAAAACCCTTTCAGATTCTTAGGGCATCTCTGTTCTGGGTATGTCTGTTGGGGCTCTCTTGTGGATTCTGAAACTCAGTTTCCTCAACCTCCAAGGGTCTTTAATTTTAATAGTTGTAGGAAAGGTAGAAAAATTAATGAATTCTCAGAAGCAGGCTGAGAGAGGGCGTCAAAATAACTTTTTCATATTTCCCAGGACTTGTGTAAAAACGATTATGAACTACGGAGAGGGCTTTTGAAAGGACATTTCCAGAGGCACAACAGCCTAACAATTAGTGAACGCAGAGTTGGCTTTCTGAATAGTCACTCCTGCAGCTGTCCTGAAACACATGCTCCTGACCCATACTTGGTTCCAGGATTGGGTTCTACCCAAGCTGGTGGGAAGACCTGTGAGCTGCAGTGCCTTAGGTTTGAAGAACTCTCTGAGCCTCCAGTGGAGAGGTCCCAGGCTCACCACGATTAACTTAAAATGTAGCAGAAGGGCTGTCACTGGATATTTTGTTATCCCAAACTCTCAGCCTCTGTGAATAAAGGTTGTTTTTTCATTAACCTCTCAGTGACTGGTTCAGTGGATTACTAGGGAAATAAACAAACAGTGCGGCAGGGGAGAAGAACGGGATTATGGGGAATCATGTCAGCATCCCCCCCCCCCTCTGGCTTGTGAGGGGATTAAAGACAGGCTGCAGGGAAGCTGTGGGCACACCACTGAGCCCTGGAAATGCCGAAATGCCAGAAAGTAGGACGAACAGTTTAGCTGTGTTGGATGTTTGTAATTTTTCTTTTTCCTTTGTGTGTTTGATATGCTGTCTTATGTGTTTTGTTAATTTGTGACAACTGTTCTTTGAAGAAGCAAATAATTTAATACTGATTTTTTTAAAAGATAGCATTTTAAATTTACAATAAATTAAAAAAAAACTATCGCAAGGACAGTATTTTTTAAGGCACAGGAAATTCTAGGACTATGTGTGTCTTTTGTGTGTCTGTCCACACAGAGAGAAATTCCATGTAACCCTCTCTCTCATCAGGTTTGTGAACACTGAAAGAAATGAACAGCATAGTCTGTGTTTTCTGTGCAGTCTAGAGAACTTGTTTAGATTCCATCCTTCATTCAAAATTCTGAGTCAAAGCGACCAACAAATATTCTACTCAATTAACACAAAAGCTCAGCTCTATTTAGGGTAAAGCCGGAAGCACACTTGTCATTTTACTCTTACACAGTCTGAAGGTGCACCTTTCTGCTCCCCTCCACACCACGGGATCAGCTTTATGGAGGCGAGGGAACACACACACACACAGAGACATGCACAGATTGTAACGGGGAAGGTGACAGGTGCGTGTATAATGATAAACAGGTATTCCTATGTCTAAATGCATGGATGTGTAGATGTGTAGGTGTGGGTATATACATATCCATTTGTTCAGTACACATGCATGCTCAGAAATCCATCCTTTTTGCATGTAGGTGGGACTTGGATCAAATACTTGTTCCTTTCAGTTAACCCAAGTATTGATATTATTTGAAATATTTTGGTTTTCTGTATAGTGTTCTTTTCTACAGTTTTGTTTTTCTGTATAGCTGGAACTAGGCGTAGTTTCTGTGCATTATTAAAATGAAACAAAGCAAGGGTTTTTCGAGGGACCTTAAGAGCTACTAACTTTGGGGACTTTGCCTCTACCTTATTTACCCAGGCAGAAAGCGTGCAGAGTGCTTTTGCTTTGTCTGGCTTTGGGTGGTCTCTGGCTCTTGTGAACAATAATGGCCTCCTGGCTCTCCACCATACCCTAAGAGTTTTGAGAATGTCAGCAGCCATTTTCAGATACAACGGTGACTCGCTCAGACCACATGTGGCTCATTGTGTGTGTCACACAGAGTGTGACAGTGTGTATCCATGGGTGGGCTAAAGAATTAGTCACATATGATCACCATTAGAGCTGAAAGCCAGAGCCTGCCTGCCCACGTGTTGGCAGGCTGATGTCCACATGACAAGAATGTGTGTGAGGCAATTGAGGCGAACCGTGATTGTGCACTGCCTGTCCTCATGGCGGCTGGATATTTGCTTCCATGAGGCAAAGGTGGTTTCACAGAGTAAAAAATACGAATGACAGCAAGCACTGTTTATGATTCAAGATAAAGAACGTGTGCTTGCTGGACACGTAAAATTTATCTTATACATTTAAAGCCGTTTAAAATGTGCCTCCAGCCAAATGACAAGACGCCCTTTCTGCTGGTCCTTTTTCAGAGGCCCAGGTGTCTGCAGGCCCAGGCAGTACCATGGTGTTCACAGTGAGCCAGGGAGAGGCAGTAGGGATGGTGAGGTCTGGGTTGATCTGAGGGATTCTGTTTCTTCAAACGACACCCAAATGCAGTTGTCCTGGGCAGTTGTGTAACTCAGAGTCCAAATGTGGATTTGAGCTCAGAATCTGCTCCAAGGTATAATGACCATGGTGCACAGTCAGCTCAGGGGTCTTTGTTTATACTTGCAGTGGGGGAGGAGGAGGAAGGGAAGGTGAGGAGAAAAGGACTTGGCCACAACCTCTTTTCTTCTTTCGGGTATGAGAATCAGTCAGGGCTGGCAGGAAATGAAACCCACTTAGATAGTCAAAGGACAAGGCTGGAGGGCTATTTCCTGGGGGTGTGTTGGGGGGGGTCTGGTGAAGGAAGCAGCAAGGACCAGCAAAGGAGAAAACTGCTCCAAATGCACCCCTACCTGGCCTGCAGCCACCCCTCCTTCAGTTGCTGGAGCTATCCCTGCCCCCCTGATCTTCCATCTCTGATCAGCTAAAACCTGCCAGGATTCTAGTAAGAAGGGAGCCCAGGTAACATGGCTCATAGAGTTGGGGTGGGCATCAGAACATGACCGGCAGACTGGCGGTCCTTCCCCTGGGGCTGATGGATTGCAGCTGCCCTGACCACATCGATGGTGTCCAAAAGCCAAGACTAGGGATGTCTCAGACATTGCTGGGGCATCCGGGACACTGGATTCTCCCATCAGCAAGCTGCCAAGCTCTGCTAAGCTCCAGACCCTAACTCAGACCCCACTGGTGGGCTCCCAGGGGTCATGCCTGTGGTGCTGGCACCTCTGTCCTGGCATCTTGGAGCCTAGGGAGGGCTGCCAGTGGCTATGCTTGGCTCATCTGAGTGATGCTCTATATGTGACTGATGTGTTCCTGCCTTTCCAGGACATGTGAGCACACAGGGATGAGGGCATCCCCCAGCCCAGAGGAAGGAGGGAATGAAGGAAGGAGTCTCAGTGTCTGTGTCAAGCCCTCAGGAAAGGGAGAGGGACAACTTCTGGTGGTTATGGGTCAGGTGGACTGTGACAGTGCTAGATTTAAATCATGACTCACATCTGGACAGATAAGATATCATAAGCCCCAGGCCTCTCCAACCATCTGGCTCCCACAGCCCTGCCAGGTTGCTGGTTTCCATCTACTACCCGCTTTTCCAGGACATGTCAGCCCTGGGGAAGACCCTGGTTGTCAGCAGCCTATGGATGCCTCCCCAGTCATGATTTGATGTTCAGGTAGGCTGTGGGGGTACATTAACCCTCTTCAGAGAAGCTAGTAACCCAGCTCCACCCTGACTTGCTCCTGACTTTGGCAAAGTCACCTACCTCTTCTGTCTCTTAACCTTTGTCATCTGTCTAATGGAGCGAACATTCCGCCTCACAGAGCTGTCACGAGTAGTAAATGTAAATTCATTTTATGAGTCTGCCTCAGCTCATATCTGTAAAATTGGAGTAATAACCACGCCTCCTGCCT